GTGTGTGTGTGTGTGTGTGTGTGTGTGTGTGTGTGTGTGTGTGTAATGGAAAAATTACATTACATTTGTGTTAAATGTATTAAAACTGTATTCCAGTTATATGAATACGTGTAAAAAAGCAGAAGGTTTGCGTGAGGTTTGTAGGCTCAGTGCCACAGTCTGATGCTTATTTCACACTGAACCAGAATCAGTTTCACTGCCTAGTAGGATGTTATCTGACTGGCTGGTTTTACACAACGTCCAGGAGAAAGAGCAGATGGGTGTTTTAGTCATTCGTCACTGTAAGAGAACAAACATGTTCAGCTCGAAGGGCAAATGGCATAGGGAACAAGGCAATGTTATTATGAAATATGGACTCGTATTTTAACTGAAATGAACGGTTTGAAGTTAAAAGCGTCTTAATGCTGGATTTGTTTCAGCTTTTGTCTTCTCCAGATGTTCACTGATGGACTGGAGTGCTGTGGATTACTTGTGGATTATTGTGATATTTTTATCAGCTCTTATTCTGATGGCACCCATTCACTGCAGAGCATCCATTGCTGAGACACTGATGCAATGCTACATTTCTACAAACCTGATGAAGAAACAAACTCATCTATATCTCAGATTGCCTGAGGGTGAGCACATTTTCAGCAGATTTTCATTTTTAGGGTGAATGACTCCTTTATGCCAAGTTAACACGGCACGATTTTAGCCCTGAAAACAGGTTTTGTGAAATCGCCGACAAATGCCAGAAAAAAAAAATTTGGCATGCTAAATATCTGGATCTGTCGGCAATTGAGAATCCTGCTGAGTGAACTGAGTTCTGACTGAAACATACACCGGCGATGACCTCCAGCCAATGAGAGAGCGAGAGACAGCGCAGCGGTAAGATCGGGGAGGACCTATTTTGCGATAGACCTATTTTATTTTTCATTATGCAATTAGCCATGTACAAACAACATGGCAATATCAGTAAATTTTTGCATTAGAATATACAGAACAGGTACATGAAGATGTAAAAATAAAATTAAACATAAAAAGGGGCTAGGGTATTTTCCTGTAAATAATATTCTTCTATAAAGGACAAAAGATTGATTGCGTTTTTCTTTTTCATCACTTTGAGAACTTTTGTAGGCTATAAGAAATATACTCATTATAAAATGCACAAAACTTAGATTTGTGTATATAAAATTTTCCCAGCAGAAATATGTTGTTAAGGAAGTCATCTTTGTTAATTATTGTGTGTTCGGGGAGGACTTACAGACCATAATATCAGCATGATCTTGCGTTATTTCCTCATGACTTCTCGTGTGCGTTTGGCTGTAGTTAGCGGACCAGACAGAGTTGTCTGTGATTCTTCCTATAGTAAAGTCATGCAGTGTGTAAGCTCCTGTCCTGATCCATCCAGCAGCAGCTGAATGCTACCCCAGATAGTCCTGCAGTGTGAACTCGGCATTAGTTAGGTTGTGGGCTCATATGATGAGAATGAAATAAGTACTGTATTTGTCAACATTTTGAGTCTGTCATAGCATTTAAAGCAGTGGTCTCAAACTCAGTTCCTGGAGGGCCACAGCTCTGCAGAGTTTAGCTCCTGATCCTGAAGACCTTGATTAGCTGGATCAGGTGTGTTTTATTAGTGTTGGAGCTGTGGCCCTCCAGGAATTGAGTTTGAGACCAATGATTTAAATACATTTTTCTACATTAGTCTGATATAATTTGTCTCAGATAAGCCCAGCGCTGAGCAGCACATACAGGATGAACAAAATTAAGCGTAAAATCCCTTTCCGTGTCAGTCAAGCTCCTGGTTATGACGGTCTTGCTACACGAGACGTGGAAGAGCTTATAGTACCATTATCTCAGTATACAGACGAGTCTCACCACCAGCCGCGTCTCCTCGCGCGGCGTCAGTCTCTGCAGCAGATCACAGGCCATCTGGTAGCACAGAATGCTGGACTGACACAGACTGCACTCCAGAGGCTTCTCGTCCTTCTGACAGGTGTGCGAGCTGCCCCACGGAGCCTGCAGCACGCTGTTGATGATGCCCACCACATCCCGGCCCAGACTGCTCTCCAGCCCCAGCGTCAGCGCCTCGTCCTGCAGCTCCATCTGCACCAGAACACCGGTCACATATCTCCTGAAGACTGTGCTCTCATCTCTCTGTGTGTGTGAATGACTTCACCTGTTTAAGCACCAGGTCAAACATGATGATGAAGCAGCCCAGATTCATGTCGTCATCATCGCAGTTCAGGTCCAGGGCGCAGTTTCCGGCAGCGTGGCCGAGGTTTTTGAAGGGGCTGCAGTGCAGGGGGCTGCGGAACGGACTGGGAAACGGACTCAGGTTATTGTGCTGCCCTCTCCTGCCGGGGTCTGACACCACACTCACCTGCGGCGGAAACACATCTGCGCTCGGTGTACAGCATCACAAACAAATATGACCCGTCGCAGAAAACAGTTTCCTTTTTAGACATCTGGCAAATATCTCTCCTCGTGCCTCAGTACTTCAGTAGGTCACATGTAATTGTCAGATTTCTGTCGTAACAACCATGTTTAACTGCATCCCATGTTCTTAACCCTCAGTCGTTTGGACCAGGAGAGGATTTTCTTTCCCCCAAGAATGCTGGTTAATGTTATTGCAATAGACTAAAACGTGCTACTTTGCTCACACACCTAGTATAACAACTTCCCAAAAAATGTTGATAATTTACATACTTTTTGTGTTTTTTTACCCTGCCTTGCTACACATGTTGCGTTTTAAATAAAAAAATACCAGCATACAAAACTGCTTATAAATCTGTTGTCAAGCTATATTAATACCAAATACTGGATTCAATCTTTTGGTACCTTGTTTTCTTTTAATTACCACAGATTTTGTATTTCTTTTTGGAATTGAACGTTCTTTTTGGCCTTACCGATCTGAGATTGTGTTTTTGAGTTAACATTGCCAAAATTATACACAAATAATGCTTTTTCAAACCCTGAGGAGCATGAGATCAGATCAATGAGGCCAAAAACAAGTACAAAAAGACTGAATGCAAGATGAGATGATAGTATAGCATAAGGAGAGATTTAGAGCGTTATTGAGAAGGGAACACCAGCTGAGGAGCAGGCTGTGAGTGCTGTGTTACCCTGCGGACTCCTGCGTTTCCTGACAGGTCTGCTGCTCCAGCTCTTCTCTGATTGGCCAGTTCCTTCAGTGAGTTCACACCATCAGAGAACATGCTGATGAGCAGCTGCAGAGGAACCACGATGTCCAGCTCTGACAGAACCTGTTCACACACGCGACAGACAGATGACAGACCAACACAGCCTCAGATGTTGTTAAACCTGTCGTACAGTAGCTGTGTGGAGTCCAAATGTCTCCACAAGGACAATAAAACCTGAAATCAGCTACAGTCCTTGCAAGAAAAACACATTACAGTTTTTTTTCAACTGCTCACACACATTTTGAAAACTTTGCCTCTTTTTTTCAAAACTTTACACATAAATCCAAGAATTGCACACACAAAATGCAAAATGCCTCACATCTCTTGCACAATAAAGCACTGCATTCAAAATATCACAAACACATCTGAAAAGCTAACATTTGTCTTACGTTGCAAACACCTTTGCCATAATATTATACTTCTGGATATATCATATACACACAGTTATTCAAACCTAAAGCTGTTCTTTCATGAGCTCCTACATTTCTGTACACGCGAGTGTGTGCTCGTTAGTTTACTGGTTTACAGAGACAGCATCAGTCATGGAAAAGCTGCTACTACAGGTGGGCCATACACCAGTTAAATCAACAGTTCGCCCAAAAATGATCTGAGAATGTGCTCACCCTCAGGCCAAGATTAGGATGAGTTTGTTTCTTCATCAGATTTGGAGAAATTTACCATTACATCACTTGCTCACCAATGGATCCTCTGCAGTGGATCTTGGATGGCCTGAGTCTGAGTGTGAAGACATTTTCAGCAAGTTTTCATTTTTGGATAAACTATTCATTTAAAACACATACTGGCAGTAATTTGCTAACAGATCTACATTTTTCAACACATTTAAATCATATTTTTAACATTTTTTGTCTTTATCTGAGTTGTTAATATGAGTTTTCAGTCTGAAAAGAATGTGATGAGATTAAAAAATGGTAAAAAAAAAAAACACACGACACAAGAACATGAATTACTAGCTTGAATCCTTCACAGAATGAACTCACTGAAAAAATCATGTCAAAATCGTAATTGCGCAATGTGCAAAATGCAAGATTTAATGTTAAATATTTTCCAAAGTTTAGTATTCAGGGTCTGGCCTCAGTCACACACACCTTTGTGCTATTCCTGTTATACAGTATTTTAGAGTAAACAGTAGGGATCCAACAATACAGTTAGCCCATGGTCCAATAAATACCTCGGTTTTTAACCATGGTTTTCGGTTTGGTTCTGATGGCTTGGCACATCAGAGGTATTTTTTTTTTGTGTGATTTGCAATTTAAAATGCTATTAAAAAAAACTCCGGTACACTTTAATTAAAACTCCAGTATACTTCTGTACACTGTAGAAAAACATGGATTATTATGTCTACTTAAAATTTCTTTTGAGAGAAGTATTATTTTTATGGATTGGCCATTACTGTATTTAGTGCTATAAACACATGCAGTGTGTGTTTCACTCATACTGGAAGCCAGAGGGCGCTCACGCAGAAAATCCACATTTGCATCACAGAAGTAACAGAATTAATGACGCTCCAGGAAATCCCTTTTATGGGCAAAGGCATCCAGCTATTATTGTGACTGAATAAAAGATAAAAACGCTTTGAATGATGAAACATTAAGGCCGGGCATACACTGTGCGATTTCCATGCTATTTCCGTGCGATTTCATCAAGGTACCAACTCACACTGTACTAGCAGATCGCATGTGATGTAAAGTCAAAGTTCACGATTTACATGCTCACACTGTACGTGTGAAATACTCGAAATGCGCAGATGATGACACTGTATATGGACCATAGCCAGAGATATCTAAAAAAAAAAAAAAAAAAGCATCAGGGGATATCGAGAGGATTTGTCATTTCCAATTAATGTATTAAATTATTACCATTGCTATTATAATTATTATTATGGTACTTTTATTATTACATTTATAGGTCTACTACAATTAATTTGCCCCGCAATAATTTCATAGCTCATTAACGCACAACTGACGCGCGGATAATAAATGATTAAATTAGCTTACTCCTCATTGATAATGATTTAAAACATTTAGATATATTACACAATGAATAGGCCTATAATAAAATTCTTTCTAAAGTAGCCTATGTCCGAACACTGTAATAATCAGTCATCAAAATAAGACCTTTATTAGCCTACAGTAATAAAGTTCTATTTTCGCACAGGTGCAGTGAGGGAAAAAGCACTGCGTTCAGGGCAGTCGGTTCATAGCTCTGCTCCAACTGTGCAATTCCCCCACGAGGGGCGACATGTCAGAAATTCATCCGACCTTCCGACAGCCTGTCAGGAGAGACTTATCGCTTCTCGTTTCCCCCTGTACACTGCACAAACACTGCACAACCAACGACGCACGACAAAGCTGAAATTCAGCCCGAATTCGTCAGAAGTCAGAAATCGGCTCAAAATCGGATGAAAATCGCACAGTGTATGCCTAGCTTAAGACAATAAACACTTGACTGCGACAATGTATTGTTTATCTGTGTTCTTAAAACCACCTCGGGTATTTTCATAATAATTAAACATTTATAATCCACTGCTAACTGACACAGCCTATATATATTTTAGCACAGTAAAAAATATATATTTCTGCATCATTCTGTGATAAGAAGCACATCAGATCACAAAAGGAGGCTATTTCTAGCATTCGTCTGATGTTGTGGAGTGTCAGAGTTTGTGTTGTGACAGAGCCCTGGACTCCTGTGTTGTCTTGTCCTTGTGTGAGCGTGCGGTCTCTCGTCTGCGTGCCCTGTTCCCTGGTTTCATATTCATATTGGATCCCGGCACTTATGTCTTGTTCAGTTTCGGTTTGGTGTCGGGGTTCGGACACTCGCGCTCCATGTTCTGTTTTGCTGAGGGAGCGTGCAGTCTCGAGATCACTCTTCTGTCCGCATGCGTTTTGTTTTGTTTAGCACATGGTTCGTGTTCGGCCGTGTGCTTTCTCGTTGTCTTATTTTGTTGCACGCAATTCCTGTTTTTATCAGCTGCGTGCTTTCATGTTGTCATGTTTTGTGTGAACCCGCCGCTTATGAGTATTCTCTTTGGCTGCTTGTTCTTATCTTGTTTTGTTCAAGCACATGGCTTGTGATTGTTTTGCTGGTCATGTGCTTGTGTTTTTGTTTTGTATGAGCATATGGCTTTTTCTTGTTTGTGTCCATGTGCCATGTGCTCTCATGTCTATTGTCTAACCCTGCCCACCTTGTTACCTGTTCATTGGTTCATTTGCCCCACCTGTTGTCCCTCGTTACCCTCCTCATTTGCTCCCCATTTATTCTCCTTGCGTTTGCAGTCCTATGCCAGTTTGTTGTTGAATGTTTCCCGTCTTGTTCTTGCCTGCTTCCAGCCTGTTCTTGTCCTGCCAGCCAGTCAAGTTGCCCGTCTGTTTCCCCTATGGTGTAGTTTTTGTTTGTTTTCATTTGATTATTAATAAAAAGCCCAACTCTTCCTGCAATTGAGTCCTTGCCTCATCCCTACACCCCAACCTTGACAGAGGAGTATGTTATAATGTTCTCTTTTGTTGGACAACAGGTTCAGAAATGCTTCTCGTTACAAATCATTACAAGGGAAGATGTGTGGCATGTGTTGCTTTTTCAAATGCTCCTTATAAACGGTAGGAGTTTCCTCATCTCAACGCGTAAACTCAGGGACACACACAAAGAGAGCCGGTTTGGAGATAAATAAAACGCACAGAAATTATTTAAATGCAAAACCAAAAAAATGCTCTGATTGGTCAAATTCATCTTTTGCTGTTGCTTGTTTAGAGTACTGCACGTGGACAGAGGCGTCACCAGGTTTTTGCGTAGTTTAGAGTGACAAAACGTACCAGCGTACTTTGAGATCAAAATGTGTAACTGCAACATAAAATGCGTACAGGTTGGCAGGTCTGTAAAGACCATTGTTTTTTCAGCACTTTAAACACTTTTGATAAAAATCATGATGAATATTGTATAATATATTGAATAACTGCAATATTGCTGCTTATGTAACACGTCATCTGACCATAAGGGTCACAGTGGTCACACATAGCTTCTCACCAGGAACCAGATGCCGAACTGACTGAGCAGTCTCTGGTCGTGCTGGTCGTCCTCTTTGTTGTCAAACTCCATGTTGTCCAGGGAATGATGGGATGAAGACAGACCCATCTGACGGCGGCGGTTCAGCTCAAACTCCCGCAGCTCCGCGTGGATCTCAGCCTCTTTCAGCAGACTGCGGCGGGCGATAGTGACATCACATTACACTGATTAATGCTTGTTTCATATTAACATATGTTTTTCAAACTGAGCCATGCTCTGAAAAAGAGTGAATCAGCATATTAGAATGATTTCTGAAGGATCTTGTGACACTGAAGACTGGAGTAATGATGCTGAAAATACAGCTTTGAAAATAGATGAATAGATAAATTATTATAATATTTTCACATAGAAAACATCTATTTTAAACTTAAAGGGTTAGTTCACCCAAAAAATGAAAATTAGCCTTTTATTTACTCACCCTCAAGCCATCCTAGGTGTATATGACTTCTTTCAGACGAATCCAATCGGAGTTATATTAAAATTGTCCTGGCACTTCTAAGCGCTATCATTGCAGCGGGTGGGTGTTTCTCTTTAACAGTCCAAAACACGTCAAATAAAGTGCGCGCATCCGTAATAAAACGTGCCTCACACAGCTCCGGGGCATGAATAAAGGGCTCCTGTAGTGATTTCATGCGGTTTTGTAAGAAAAATATCCACATTTCAAAGGTAATAAACACTTTTCTCTCACTTCTGTTGCTCGTGAGTTTGTTAACAGGAGCAAAGGAAGCAAAGTTTCCTTACTTTAGCAAAGGAAAACCAGTCTCCTCTTGGCTTATATCCAAATCCTCCCTACATTTTTCTTTACAAATCCTCGTTTTGTACTTCTAATTCATGACTGGCGTTTTGTTTTGTTCTCTCTCCGTGTTCGTCACTAATCACGCTGGAAACAGGAAAGAGGAAATTGTATTAACAAGATTAAGGTTGGGACATTGTGCTCTAAATAAAACATTAGAAATGGTAGGGAAACATCAGACGGGTCTGTGTGAGGAGTGTCAGGAAGAGGAATCAGTGGAGCATGTAATTCTACACTGTTGGAGATACCAGAGGCAGAGAGAGATAATGGAAAATAATCTGAAGGAGGTAGGGGTGCAGAAACTTACTTTAAAAACAACCCTAGGTATGAGTGATAGAGCACAGGTGAGAGAACTATTAGTTTTTTGAAGGGAACTGGGCTTTATTATAGGATATGATGGTAAGGAAGGAAGGGTAATTATTGTTTTTTTGGAAGGTTGTATTTTTTCCCCATCTTCCCTCTCTATCCCTAATTTAAAGTAGAAATAGATTGTGAATTTACTTACTGATCCACACTCCGGAACAGAAGGGGGCGGTAATGCACCAATAAGATGGATGTCAACCGCCATTAAAAAAAAGAAGTCACTAATCACACAACGCCGACGTCCTACGTCATCCGCCGGAACTGCTTCTGCATATGACAGATCGTGAAAGTGATAGAAAAGTGTTTATTATGTTTGAAATATGGATATTTGTCTTACAAAAACGAAGGGATTCGCTACAGGAGGCCTTTATTCATGCCCCGGAGCCATGTGAGGCACATTTTATTACGGATGCGCGCACTTTATTTGACGTGTCTTGGACTGTTAAAGAGAAACACCCACCCACTGCAATGATAGCGCTTAGAAGTGCCAGGACAATTTTAATATAACTCCAATTGGATTCGTCTGAAAGAAGAAAGTCATATACACCTAGGATGGCTTGAGGGTGAGTAAATAACAGGCTAATTTTCATTTTTGGGTGAACTAACCCTTTAAATAATTATTCGCAATATTACTGTTTTTACTGTATTTCTGTTCAGATAAATGCAGCTTTAGTGAGAATAAAAGACAATTAAAAATCTTTATTCCAAACTTTTGGCTGCCAGTGTATTAGTATTTTATATCTAATGTGCCTTATTCACATTCAAGTAAACTAAAAACTGTTTGTCAAGAGTATTTTTACTGCAGTTTTTGTTTGTCCGCACCTGATCACCGCCTCCACGGTGCACACCAGCTCCTCCGCGCCACACTCACGCGTGTTGATGGGCGGAGGAGACGTCTGGTACAGATGCGTCTCCGCTGACGCCCCCACCTCGCTGCTGTGGTGGTTGACATGACAACGCTTGCAGTAGCGCACAGGCCGGTTGCCGTGGCGACCGCAGCATCCCGCTGAGAAGCAGGTGACGACGGCGCGCCTGACGTGAGAGCTGCAGTTCTGTGACGGAGAGAGACACAAACAAGCGTAATGTGAGTGGGACGGAGCGTTTGCTCCCTGTAATGTTTTTTGCACTCACTTCAGAAACTCAGTAACAATGGCAGAGTGGACATTTTAATCTGATGGGCTGCAGATGAAAGAGCGGAGCAGGCGACAGAAACCAGCTCTAGTTCACAGATGAGCTGATAATGGCTGTATTAAAATTGATGACATGGACACACGTGACCAAACACACACACACACAGGACAACACAAGCATATTCCCTCACACCAGGCTTACCTTCTTCTGACATATAGCAGAAATCTCAGCTGTTAGGATGAAATCATGAGGGGTATTGTTATACTACAAGACATGAATAAGATAACGTTAGCTTTACTATGAACTAACAATGAACTGCCCTTTTACAGCATTTATTCAACTGGGGTAATGTTATTTTCTATATATACTAAATCATTCTAGCATTTCAAGCATAAATTTACATTTATGAACAAATATGAAACAACAATAATTTATTTATATTATAGCATTAATCTAGATTAATAAATGCTGTAAAAAGTCGTTGATTGATAGTTCATGATACCTAATGCACTAACTAATCAAATTAAAGCTTATTGTGAAGGATGACAGAATGATAATTTTTGGGTGAACTATTCCTTTAAGTAAATACATGAGTGTGTGTAGTTTTAGTTCTAAAATGAGGAAGTGTCACTGACCTTGTGGTAAAAGCACATCAACGAGCCACTCAGCATGATCGCTGTGAAAGAAACACAATAAAATTGTGGGCTTTCCTCATTAAACGCAATTATAGATTATAAATGGATTTTATTAACAGGTTGTCATGACCCCTTTAAGATGAGATTGACAGTTGAAGCCTGAGTAGATGATTCTGGATATTCACTGCAGTAATGCAGCAGACACACAATGAACTGCATGCTGAAATAATGCAGCTTACCCAGCGATCCTCTGGCTGCACTCCTCACAGATGTATAACGGTGGAGGTTTGTCACCCAGCGCAACCGAGAGCGTTGGATCAATACACATCTGAAAGCAGGACGGAGACACAGTCACAATCACACAACCACTGGACCCTCAAACACTCTAAATGTGTCTTATTGCTAATAATGGACAATGTATTAAGCTACAAATACAACAAGAGCTGTTTTTTAAGGGTATTTTGCATAACTATTTCATTTAGTCAATCTTTTCTCTTTTTCTCAGTTTTAGTGTTGTGTAAATTAGATATTGCTTGAGTTAAGTGACCAATGACCATAAGTATCACAGTATTATTATAGGCATCTCAGGGCAAACCATCATTTCGGGTTTCATAATAATCATAATAATTATTTTAACTCTCTGACAGCTTACCAGATCTGACATTAAACGGTTGGTTTTTAACATCTAAAATAAACACCATATAGTGCATGCACTGGTCTCAGTATCTCAGTGTTTGACTAGAGCGGTAACAAGGTCATCAGTTCCTCATGAGCTCCTGGTAATTGAGTTACAGCATGTCTCTTCCTGCTCTGTTTCTATGTTTTATTACACAGAGCAAATATTTGCAGGGATAAAAACAATGAATCAGTACCTGGGGAATATTTTTTAAATGATTCTGGGCATTTGCATGTTTTTATTTTGAAGTTCTTGTCTCAATCACAAAATCCTTGCAGTGCACTGAAATGTTTGCTCCCTAAATAAATCCCACAATCCAACAAAATCCACAACATTTTTGACTAGACTACAAAGCAAATAAAAATACAAAGCCTACATTAAATCTCAGAGGTAAAGAGTTACAGTACCTTCACCGCTGGCTTATTAATAGAGTTCTGACACTCGAGGTGTTGGCAGTGAATGGGGTTCCAGGCTGGGATATAAAGAACAAAACAGACAAATAATGTGTACATTTCAGGAGAAGGTCTGTCTCAAGCCACTGAGCAGTGATTTCCAGTCTGTACGCATATCGTTATTTTGAACAGTTCTTTTCTGTGAATCTTTCAACCAGTTCACCAAATCAGACTGAATCAGATCGGAGAGTTGCATCTCCAGTCAAAACTGTCAGTCAATCAGTGAACCTCTCTCGAACGTGTCCGACAATTTGTCTGCTTCTACAATCATTTGTAGAAAAGAGCTCCTTCCTCGCACCCTCAGGGGATCAGTGTCCAATCTCCGACCACCACCAGTGTTCAAAGTATGATCTCCAGCAAAATGTTACATGCTTTCTGCAAATGTTTCAGAACACCAAACATTTAACATCCCCCCAGCAAAACAAACAGTCAAAACTAGTGTCCCTTTCGGAGAAGTTGGCAGCATGGAAACTACTGCCAAATATCTCTCCTTGGGTCATAAAGACTGTAGAAAGAGGATAAAGGATACACTTTGCATATCATGCTCCGCGTTGCAGCAGCATGGTCTCCACTACCGTGAAACCAGAGCAGATGCATTTGTTGACACAAGTTGCAAACTCTGCTGGACAAAGGGGCCATAGAATATGTTACCCTCCCAGTCAGAGAGTCGGGCTATTACAGTCTGCACTTTTTGGTTCCCAAGAAAGATGGGTGGTTGCATCCAATTTTAGATTGCCATTTGAACCTCTTTTTCAGAACATACAAGTTCAAAATGCTAACAATCAAAATGACTGTATCTCAAATCCAATCCAGGGATTGGTTCGTGACAATCGATCTCAAGGACACATACCTTGATATAGAAATTTTGCCAGAACACAGGAAGTTGCTGAGGTTCACTTTTGGGGGCGAAGCTTACCAGTATCAAGCTTTTCTGTTTGAGCTAGCCTTATCACCTCACATATAAATGAAATATATGGAGGCAGCACTGGCTCCTTTGCAACTCCAAGGCATCCGTATTTTAAATTACATAGACGACTGGCTGATTTTGACGACTGGCTCAGTCTCAAGAGCTTGCACTTCGACACTGGGATGTCATCTTCGCTTATCTCAAGTCTCTGGGGTTGAGGCTCAATGCCAAGTAAAACATTCTCTCTCCTGCCCAGAAGACAACGTATTTAAGGGTCATAAGGAATTCGATCACAATCCGGGCAAAGCTGTCTCCTGCACATGTTGAATCTATTTTAAACACACTGAAATACATCAGGCTAGGTCAGGAAAGGTTACTTTTCTACGTCTCATGGCAGCTGCATCCACTGTGATAAATTTGGGCCTTGTGCATATGAGATCGTTTCAGTTGTGGCTCAGAGCCACAGGATTTTATCCAGGGCCAATCCCCAGGGGCAGATAAGGGTTAGACGCTACACACTTCGTACCCTTTCTATGTGGTTCAGACCCCGGTTTCATACCTTGGGTCCCACTCTAGGTGCGTGTTGTCATTGCAAGACATTAATGACAGACGCTTCTTGCACTGGCTGGTGTGCAGTCTTAGATGACCATTCAGCCATAAGGATCTGGAGATGTCTTGATTTGCAAACCAGTTGCTTGGAAATGATGGCTGTATATCTGACCCTGAAATAATTCCTCCAGCAGTTAAAGGGCTATCATTTCCTAGTGCAGGCGGACAATACTGCAGTAGTCTACTGCGTTTGTGCCACCTGAACAGGTTAACGCAGCAGGTTCTGTTTTGGGCTCAAGACAAATTCCTGTCCCTCAGGGCGATTTACATTCCAGGGCATATCAATGTGGGAGCAGACTTGCTATCCAGACAGGCTGTGGCACACAGGGAATAGAAACTCCACCCCGAAGTAGTCAAACAAATTTGGGAAAAGTTTAAGAAGCAGAGGTGGACCTCTTTGCCTTGCAGGAGACAGCACAATGTCCCCTCTACTTCTCTCTAACTCCTCCAGATCCCTTGGATCTGGGTGCGATGGCCCATATGTACCCCTGGGAGTCCAGGCCAAGGTCAGTCAAAAAGGGTCTTGCCTCTTGGTTGACCAGAGTTTGGTTCTCAAAACTAATATCCCTCCTTGATGGCAGTGGGCGATTCTGATCAGGAGAGACCTTTTATCTCAGGCACAGGGGACAATATTTCATCCCTGGCCCGAGCATTGAAACCAACTAAGAGATTCTGTTCTTTTAGCTGGTGCAATGGAAACTATTCTAAGTGCTAAGGCTCCCTTCACTAGAAGAAGTTATGCCTTCAAATGGTGTGTTTTTGAAATATCCACTGTGCAGACCCAGTCCACTCCCAAGTTGTTTCAGTGCTGGAATTCCTGCAAGACTGTCTGCAGGTGCATGTCCTGCTACTCTCAGAGCCTTTGTGGCTGCCATTTCTGCTTGCCATGATCTGATTGATGGGGACCCTGTAGGAAATCACCCTCTAGTTGCTCACTTCATTTGTGAAGCATTTGTGAAGTAGTTGAGGCCACCCGGCAGAGTGATAGTTCCTTCGTGGGACTTGTGGTGTAGAGCTTGAGGTTCTGGTTGGGACTTTTGAACAACTAGAGTCAGCGACTGTCAAGCTTCTGACTGTAAAGATGTTTTTTTCTCATGGCAATTACTTATCTAAAGAGAATTGGGGATTTTCGCCATCCTGCTTAGATTTTGCCCCTAGACTATTTTGCACCCACACTCTGATTATCTTCCTGAAGTTCCATTCTCGACCATGCATCCAGTCATTCTTGAAGCCTTCTGTCCTCTGCTATTCATTACACTAGATCAGGAAAGACTTCACTTACTGTGTCCAGTCCATGCCCTTCAGATTTATGTCCACTGCACCAGCCAGTGGCTTAGGTCAGAGCATCTTTTCATATGCTATGGGAGCCGCAACTGGGGGATGGATGCCACTAGGCAAACAATGTCATACTGGGTTAAAGATGCTATTGCCCTAGCTTTTGAGGCGCATGGTCAATCTTCACCTCCAGGAGTAAGGGCCCATTCTACTAAGGGGAGTTGCACACTCCAAGACTTTGGCAAGAGGTGCCCCCTTGCAGCAAGTATGTGATGCAGCAGTCTGGTCCTCCCCGCACACGTTCATCAGGTTCTATAGTTTAGATGTTCATGCTACTCCGGGCTCGCATGTACTTGAGTCAACATCCCAAGGACATGTCTGTGACCTCTCCAGTGTTTGTGTGCACACTCTACAGTACATAACCTTGAGGGGTTCAGACACTTTCCAGTGTGCCAGAGTTGGTATTCTCGTTCCCATTAGTGTTATGAAATGTAGCAACAAGTGTAACTTTTGATAGGGAACATCTCAGGTTACTTGACTTTAACCCTGTTCCCTGAAAAAGTGGGAACAAAATGCTGTACCTAATTGCCGCACTGTGGGCATGTCTAGTCGTCTCTTCAGACAAAGGTCTAACCTGAAGGTGCTTCCCCTTTTTCAGGGAACAAAATTACAGACAAGTAACTCGAGATGTTCCTAATCTATTTGTAAAATAGTAACACCTAATTTAGACCTAATCAATACTAGCCTGTCACACATTTACTGAATGAAACATTGATGACAATAAAAAACCCAAATTAATATAACTGAAAGCATAATTCACAGTACAGGTACGTGCCTACATATGACTTTATCCTAATGTGTTTGAGCATGTAAACCACAATGCTGAGATGTCAGAAATACGTGCTGATGTTATTGCTTTGACCTTGTTCATTGAAACCAACCATTTGAAAGCAGTGGTTTGGAGAAATTAATCAAACATCTCACCTGTGTACTGCAGGCCTCTGTACTCACTGATGGCACCGGGAGGCTTCAGGTTGGGCCAGTAATGGAAGAGCATTTGAACAGCTGGAGGTTTGACTTGGGACGGGCCATAGGATATGACGTACAGAAGATCCTTTAAAAACGTAGTGATCAGTGTAAGTGATAAGCGCTTTTGGAAAAATCTCCAAAAAGACATGAAGAACTGAAGCATACCTTCCATACTTCCTGCTTGTATTTCATGAGACACTCCAAAAGCTGACAGTGGTATACTGAAGACAACCAGAGAAACATTTAGAGCCCATAATCCACACTGTACTGAAAAAGCTACACTATGCTAGAGTCTTCTGCAAATAACAATCAGTGACTGACTATAGAAGTAACTTTCTTGCAGCCTGATAAATGTGTATGTACCTGGATTTGAAGTGTACTGCATGGCGATCATCAGCATGGAGGAGGCAGACAGATTGACATATGCTGGAATGCCACCCTCTCTTCGAGTCGAACCCACTGCAACACATAAATCATTTTCTTGCTTCATAGTGCACGATTGTCACATAATGTTGCATTTATTAGTGCTTGCTGATAATCAAACCAGCAGTGTGCTCTACTGGAAGCACAAAGTGGTTGCTGGAATACTTCGAGAGGTTACTTTGAAGAAACATCTCTCATAGTCACATAAATAGTTAGTATACTCACAAATGGCCATGGGCAGGAAGGATGTGCTCAGGTACTCTATGATGTCTTTGTGCAGGAAAGGAGGGAAGGTGGCTAAAGTGGAGATCATGGTGTAGGGTAAAGTGCTGAGAATATCATCACTAAGGAAAGGCAGAAGGCATGTTGTGGTGTAAAATATGGCCTGTCCCAGATCTGAAAGACAAGCAGATGAACGAATGAGCACCATGTCCTCTAGAGATTTATGCAGCTTTACCAACTCATCTCTGAACAGTACAATGACATTTAAAGCTTTGCGTTTTCTTCAGAATGCGTCCTGCATAATGAAATACTAGCATACTATATGTTACTGTACGTTGATAACGTTGTTATCCAGTCAAAGCTCTTTATGGTGAATGACACGAAAGCAAAGTTTATTTAGCTGCCAGCAGATAGGAGAAATAAAGCTGGCTGACAGCTGTCAGGAAATGAGCATGTTTTATTGAAAACGGCCACTAGACGGAATGAGCGATTCCTGCCGATATCTCAAAATGGTCAAATATTGGCTAAGCAGCAGCAATATTCTCTATTTTAGATTATTTTAATTTCATGAGAAACACACAGAGGATCTCAAAGAGATCAGAGTTCACCAAAAAATGGTCATTCTGTCAGCATTTATTCCCCTCATGTGCTTCCAAACCTGAAGGACTTTCCTTCTTCTGCAGAAGATAAAAGAAGATATTTGAATAATATTAGTAACCAGTTGACTTCAACTGACTTTTCTGAGACATTCCTTAGAATATCTTTTTTTATGTTCCACAGCTGAAAAACAACATGAAGGTGAGTAAACGATGACAGAATGATTTCTGGGTGAACGTCAGGCACCAACGGCAAGTGCGCCATACTGGAACTGATTCGTAGAAGACTGAGCGAATTTGTTTGGCTGGAAATCAACGTCCATCTAGCAGTAATTCTTATTTCGAGTGACGTATTTTACAATCAGTGTCATTTTCTCTCTCCTCTGATACACTCAGAAATGTGTCTCCGGGAGTGAGGCGCCGCAGGACTCACCGTGCTGACCGTGCTGCAGCAGGGGCACCAGGTCAAGCAAGGTGACGAGGGTGGCATAGAGCCCCTGATAGTCCAGTGAGGGGTAATCTGAGATCTGAACCTCCCGACTCTGCTGGGTGGCACCACCCCGGTCGGCCGGGGCGTCCCGCAGAACGCTGTAAAGGAGGGATCGAGTAACTGTAGGGTTGATGGAACTGACTTGTGGTCTTAGAGATGGGGTGAGTGGGAATGGCACAGGAAAAAGACACATGGTCATGGGCACGGCCAAATTGGAAGCTTCCTGGCTCTCCTTTCTGCCTGTACGGGACAGGATGCTGCTCCGAGGGAGGGGTGGGGGGGGAACAGGGGAAAAAAAGAGACAACAAAGACACAAAGAAACAGCACATTACATTGAAATGGCTCTACAGAGACAGCGTAAGTAGAAAAGAACCAAACCCAGATATTCCCCACATAGGATGCAGTGTCTCCACAGACTTTGGAATTTGCTTTAGATGTGCCATCATCATCTATGCATTTGAAAAGCTGGCTTTTGGTTTGGATCGAAATCAAGCAGGCTTGCGCTTGCGAAGCACGTGACGATCACTGCATCTCATGCGTATCTGGTGACAAGGAGCAAAAATATAAAAAATGGCATGTTTTCAGTGGCAGCCCCGTACTTCGCCAGAGGAACGAGCTTTGAGGCACACGCGCCGCGCCCTCCGAGCGGCCAATCCCCGGAGGACGGGCGGCACGGGCCGATCAGGAGGCTAAAGAGCCACATGGGAAATATTGAGCAATGGAGGGGCTGTCAGAGATGAGAGCAATCTCGAAATAATTAGTTTTGAGGACGATACAGAGATGACACTTCAGAAACATGCTTCAGCCAGTAATAAACATGTATGTGAGGTTAGACTAAAAGCTCCCTGGTCACAACACATGTTTATTGCACCGTCAAAAAGAATGTCTGTATGTAAATACATTATGATACTGCCTCAGTATCATTTAGGGGAAGAGAA